CGGGTTTTTAAAATATCTGAAATAGAAATTAACCTATATTTACATTCTAGGTCGGGTATGTTCTAGTAGTTTGGGTAAATTTTACAGTTTTCTTTGCTTTTTCGGGCTAATTCGCATAATTCGGGTATTTTTCGAATTCTTACATCTTGTTCGTTTTTTTTATATATTTTTGAATAATTATAAATATTTGAACCGAACCAAACCTAATTTGGTAATTATGAGTATTTCGAATAATTTTAAAATATTGAGATAAAAACATGAATCCAAAAAGTTGGATATTAGTGGGTTTCATGTATATTTTCGGATCCGATTCACACTTTTATTAACAAACAAATTAGCAGCCAAGTAAGTATTTTGCAACAGAAAAAAACAAATTTTTTTTTTTGTCACGAAAAAAAAAAACAATTATATTCATTCATTTCATTAATATACGTACGGCTATCTACCTAATTAATGATACTAATAATTTTAAGTTCTATCTACAGTATATGATAATTTTTGTTTCACCAACCTATGTTTTAGTCTTCCATGTATGATCATATAATTTTGTTTTTTTTTTGTTTAGATCATTTAAATTTTAAAGCAACCGTATTTATAATGAAGGAAATGTGAAAATAGGATGAAAGGGAATAGCATAGAGATAAACGAGATATTAATGAAAATGAAAAAGAAATAAAAACAGATGGGTTGATCAACACAAAATCAATGAAAATCAAGAGAGAAATAATAATACTCCAAAATCACCACAATGGAAGAATAATCATGAGTAACAGTAGCAATTCATCATCACAAATAAAACCATGCGAGTGATGCGCACATGACGCAAAACGACACCGCATTATGCATGGAACCAACTTTACGCGAAGCAAACGAAGCGTCCGCCGGAGAATCATCATCGGAACTATCACCGTCTTCTTTCGTCTTCTTCTTCGACTTTGACACCGACGGGGCCGGAGCCGGCGCCGGAGGACGAGGGTCGAAAACTTGCTGAGGAAGCAAAACCTTATCGATCTGATAAACAGCGAGCTGTCCATCGCTGTAGACATTACCGGACACGGTGGTGTTGGTTACACCGGTCGTGATATTTACGGTATTTCCACTGGTTGTAACGTTGAGAGGAAAATGTCCGTCGGCTGAGTCACCGGCTTGAGTCCGGAGAGGGTTACTTATTGTTTGGAAGTTTGAGGAAGAGACATAAGTTGGTATGACATGAAACTGAACTAGCTCTACTTGTTGCTCGTCGGTTAAGGAGTTTAGGGTTCCGGCTTTGAGACCGGAGAACGAGGAATCGCTAGGTGCGAAGATAGTGATTCCGTTGTCCGAATTGTTAAGCTGGCCGTAGAGTTGGTTAGCAACTCCGGTGGCTTTGAGTAGTCGGATGAAGACAGTGAATTGACCAGCTTTCTCTAGGATTTTGGTGACGTTTGTGGGTCCTGGTGGTGCCGGAGCGGCGGCTGGAGAAGACTGAGATCGGATTCCGGGAATGGTGGTGAGGAGGAGGAGGACGGTGCCTGAGAGGAGGATGTTGAGAGAATGCTCCATGGCGAATGATCTTTGTTTTTGAGAGTGCTGATATTTTGTGTTTGTGTGGGATGCGAGTTTATAATAAGAGTAAGGGTTATTTTGAAATGGGCGAAATTAAATTGGTTAAGGGGTCAGCATTTGTACAACTAAGTTGATTGTTAATAATAAAGAGAGAGCTCTCTAATTTTTTATTAATATTATATATAGGGGGATCAGAAGAACTGTTACAAGTTTAACTCCATTTATTATATATAACTCTGCTCGGACTTTGAATTCAAGTAACTCAAAAGCGGATTAATCTTTTGCATTTACTTTTGTTCAAAGTGGCTTCTTCATGTCCCTTCTTATCTCCTATAAAATGCTAATAATTTTGTTGTTTTTTCTCTCTTGGTGATTGCACAACTGTTGGTTTAAGAGACTATAGCGCGGATTTTGGTTTTAGATTTTCTGGTTAATAATTTTCGGCTAATATAAAAGAAATAATGGGTTTGTCTTAGTTTTCTCTAAAATAATTAAGTAATTAATCAAGTTCTAATTGATAACCTTTTAACGAATAGAACCAATAATTCAAGTGTATATAACATCTACTTTCGTGATAACAAACTTGTGCTGTGCTATAAAATATTAACAGGGAAGGGTAGTTGTTCCGACGGTGATAATGTGTGTGTGCAAGAAATAAAAGAAAATCATTACTTTGTTAGAAATTTCAAAAATGTCATTTTACAAAAATACCACATTTTTACAATCTTTGCAAAAATACTATTTTTTCAAAATTATTTATTCCATATATCATTTATATTTGGGTTAACTATGTTATATTAGGGTTTAGTTTTGAGGGTTTTAGGAGGCAAAAGATTTTTTAGGATTTAGAATTTTAACATTTAAGTTCTAAAAAATCATAATTAATAGCATTTTTACAAACGGACACCAAAAATGGTATTTTTGCAAATATAGATACAACAACTGGCATTTTTGTAAACGTTCCTTACTAATTATTAAATCCTGTGAATGGAAAGGTGGGAGGAATAATGGAGAGTGTGGTATATGATAATGGAAGGAGCAACTTTCAACTTTGCTTGGAAATTAAGAAAAAGCAAACATAAATTGATTTGTGGTGGGCTCTCTTTAATTTAAAATATATTTCCCATTTAAGATTTTAACTTTTTATATATTAAAATAGAAATATGTAGTACAACAGTTTATGTTAGTGTTGACGATGTATCACTATCCACAATCACATTTGGACAGAATGCTTGTGACTGATAAAAACAAAATATATAAACCTTGAAACGAAAATTTAATTTGGAGTCTAATATTGTGGATTTTGGAAGTGATAGATGAGGATCCAAGGATTTTCATTAAAGGAGATGAATTTTATTTACCTTTTTTTGGTGAAACAAATTTTTCATTTTACTTTTGACAAATCTCCACCGAAACAAAGATTGTGTTCCATCTTTTTGAATTCCATTTCCTGCAGTATATATGTAAGTTTATTTTTCTTAAAAA